GTTCGAGCTGCGGCTGCCCGTGGAAAGCCGGCAAGCTGCCCCGGCGCCCACGCGGGGATTCCCGACGGCCCGCGTCCCCCGCAGGAGCCGCGCGCGGGAGCCAACCGGGAGGAGAAGGAGGAGGGCGGCCCGCGGTCCGCGCGAGGCTCTTTCGCACTCCGTGTGGGGCGGCGCTGTTGAACACTGGCTTTCCGCCTTGCTTCGTGGTCAAAAGTGCCAGGCGAGGAACTTTGCAAATCTTGCATTTTTAAAACGCAACAATATTATTGTTGTTTTAGGTCTTTAACCCAGCCTTACTGATTAGGATACAAAAATACTTTTAGGGTTTCAAAACATATTGAAGGTTCCTAGGTGCCTGTCAGCCTAGCAATTCAGCAACATTTGCAGCATTATTCCAAAACAGCATTTTGCCCTCTAACATTCCTTTCAGCTGCAAACATTTTTATCATCGTTTCTGGAGAAGGAAAAGGATCCTTCTCTGTAGCCCTGGAGCCAGACTTTCTTCCTGGTAGATGATAAAATGTCCTGGGTCAGGTCAGGATGACATCTGATTAATCGGATTGGTTCTAAGCAAGCCACAAGCAAAGCCTAGAAGGGCCTTTGCTGGGGGTCTCCTGTAAAAGTCAAGGCCTGAGTGCCTCAGGAAGAGAAAGTAAGGAAGGAGTCGCTACTGTGGGGCAATGCCAGGCAAATGCAGTTAGGAGGGAAAGAAACTAAGATTTATCATCTTTACCATTGACCCCAGCCAGGATGCAGACAGGGTAGTCTAGGTTTTTAATCTGCAGAATTTAACAAGAAGCCCAGCATGATTGGCAAGATATATCAGAGTTGCCCAGTGCTGTGGCTTTTTGCAGGCCGGCCTGTGCAGATCTCCATGGGGCTGCATTTTCTTTTCCCTCCCCAGCGAAGATTTTCTCTTCATCAGCACTTGGCACTCTGGGCGAGGATTAGCCCTAGCAATAGTCTTTTCTCACCTTATTCATTTGAAAAGTATGTGTGCTGTGCTTCCATCCTAAAGGGATCTGGGATGCGGTACAATATTTTTCAAATGTTATATATAACTAATGCCCCTGAATATGCATTCTAAATATTTGTGAAATTGGCCAAGTTCCCCCTCTCCGGCTGGATTCAAGGCAAGCCAAACTTTTAAGCAGATGTTCCTGCAGAAGTTTCCTTTGGTGGGCAGGTGCAAGGGGCAGACATCCGGGCATCCTGGTAGTTTTGTAGTTTCGCACTTCCTGAGCCTCCCTGCCACACAATTGGTGCATTTTCCGATTAGCTCTCCACCACCCTTCAGATCCCCTCTTGCTGGCCTTGTGGTCATATAGGAATCAGCCAGGTTCGCGAGATTTGGCAGACTGGAAAATGAAGAAAAAAACAAGGAATTGCCACCTTTTGGAGAAGACTCTCTCTGCCCACCACCCAAAACTTCCAGGTGGCTTTTCACAGCCACCTGTGCTTGGGTGACAAAGTTGTTTGCCTTCCCAGAACAGTTCCAGTTGTGGAACTCAGTTGCTATAGAAGTGATTTTGAATGTGGCCCGCAGCATGTGTGTGTGTTTGTGTGTATCAGACTCTGTCTGCACCCCATGAAGTACTTAGAAATTTCTTTCCCAGTTTTGCTAACTATTCCAATTGTTCAGCCAACTTGCTGAGTGGTTCTGATGCAGGAGGGCAGCTGGCCAAGTTCTACAAGGGGGTCTTCAGAGCAGTCCTGAGCAGGTGCCCCTACTGACTCTGTCCTCCCACACAAAAGGGGGGGGCTTCTCTTAAAGCTGCCTTGGAGTGGAGAGGAGGAGCCTCTCTGAAGATGAAAGGGGATGGAGGCTGAAGGCTTTCCTACCCAGGCCAGTCTACGGCAAAGGGATGTGCCTAGACTTTCAAATAAATGGAATGTAGGGTGGGGGGGGGGGGAAGAACACAAACTCTCAAGCCAGCAAGGCCATCTGGAGAAAAAAGCCCAGGGCAATGGCCCAGCTCCATATTACAACAAGGAGCAGCTGGGAAGGTAGTGTGTACAGAGCAGGAGGAAGAGAAAACCAAGCAATAGAGACCCTCAAGGAGTTCTAATGGCTGGCTGCCTACTTAGAGGTGGCCCCTACAATACCACATGGCCCCCAAGGCAGTTATTTGAGTCCTCTTGGCCTACATGGGCCTTTGCTTCAGCACCGAGTGTCAGTTCTTGAACTAGAGATAGGGGCGATGGGTCAGTAGCCTCTTTAGATGTCCCAGTGTCTGGGCTGGGATAGCTTCATGCAAAGGCAGCTGGCTTTATATTGCTTTCCATAGAACATAAAGAGGGGGGACCCAATCTGATGACCCCTTTTGTCTTCTGCAGAGAGACCCAACCTGATCCAGACATGGGGGGGGGAGGCTCCCATTGCCAGGCTTCTGAGTCTGCCCTTCTGCTGAGCTGGGGCCGGAGGAGGTGTCTCCTGCTTCAGGCCTCCAAGACAGCCAGGAAAGGCTCTACTCTCTTCCTGGGCTGGACTTTGGCCCTGGTGAGTGGAAGCATCCACTGAACGCCTCCTGAGGGGAACAAAGTAGCTAAACATCTGGATCAAATAACGGCCGCCTTGCATTCCAGACTGTCTTATGCAAGCATTTTCTTGTTAGTGGAGAGATGATCAGGCCAGACACGCCAGCCAGCTGGGGGCCTCTCTTCCTCTGCAGCTCCCAGCCAGGCTGCACCTCGGCTCCTGGTCCCTCTTGCCAAGGCCTTCCGGAGTGGATAGTTGGTTCCAGATTTCCTTGCTTGGGAATCCCTTGCAGGCAGTCCCCCCTCCCTGCCAAACTAGAGAGTAACCCCCTTCAATGCTGCCTCTGCTCCAACAACAAAATGTGTCTCTAATGGTTGCAGGATTCCCTGGGGTTAAGTCTTCTTTGAAAAAGAGCTCCATCATTTGCACACATTTCCCTTCATCCAGACATGGCAGTCCTCACCCAGCCCCCAGTCACAACTGCAGCAGCTCCCCTGCTTTTCCTTCCACCCTCTGAAAACAGGGTGCTTGACAGGCCCTCCTTTCCACCAGACCCCCAGAAACCAGGAGTTGAGCAGAGGCTCACCAGCCTCTTGTCCTGGGGTCTTCAGAGGAGAGCCCTCCCAGAGATTTGTAAAGTCAAACTTAAAGTAACTTCCTCACAAGTGGAGTGATTTTTCTCCTCCTGATGGGAGGAAAGGGTGGCTGAGAGAGCAGCTCTCTTGCCTGAGTGCTGCCTCCGTGACCTGAGCTGGACTCTCTTCCTCATGAGTAATAATAATAATAATAATAATAATAATGTTGGAAGGGAGGTTATCTAGTCCAACCCCCTGACCAGGCAGGAAACCCTCTACCATTTCAGACAAATGACTGTCCAGTCTCTTTTAAAGTGATGGGGCTGCTCTGCGTTAACTTCCTCCTTGGGCTGCACATTTTACCCTGATGGGCTGAGAGCAAAATGTCTCCTGGACTCTATATTCTGCTTGCCTCCCCTCGCCTGCTGCTGACACACAGGCCTGGAGATGACGCCCTCATGGGTCTGGGTGCTTTGAAACCGCAAGAGGCAGAGTGAAATCTATGTACAAGCAAGCGTTGATAGCCAAGGTCATGCTCTCGAGCTTCAAGGCTACTTGGAGGACTGATGGGTTAGCCCAGGCACCAAGGGTTAGGGTTAGGCATCCTTGCTGCAAATCACACTGGATCCTTGAGAGCCCCCCTTTCCCCTTCCACACACATTTACTGCACTTCAGGATGACAATGAAACAAAATTCCTTTTATGGTTTTTCCCAAGAAGAAAAGATTGAAAACATTTCTGACTGGGAGAGTTTTGGCTCTACAGACTTTGCACTTCTTCCCAGAAATGGACAGGCAGCAGTGAGCAGAAAACTTGTGTGGGAAGCTCCATTTGACCTGACTGGAAAAGCTGGCTGCCTTCTGCCCCTCGGGCCCAAGAGCAGAATCCCAGGAAGATCCGCAAGTTCAGGCAGGTGGAGCAGGGAATTCCAGCGTCCCTCCCAAGAGCAAAGGAAGGTCTGCGGAGGGGAGTCTTACTCACACAGCTTTATAAGATGTGTGTGTGGCTGTGGGGGGGGGGGGATGATTCTTTTAACAATGACCTTATCTACTCATACTCTTGGATCGGTTCTACTGACACAACAGGAAATTAAATGATATTTTTTGAATCCCTCTTCCCCTCCCAACAAAAGTGTTCTGTGCCAAAAGCAGACTTTTTACTAGGAAGGAGCTGTACTCCAGATGTTGGGCTTTCAGACTTTGTTAGGAGCAGCAGAAATGCTGTGGTTTCACTGCAAAGCCTGAGGGAGGGGGCAGAAGATGACCCAGGCTGTTACTGGCAACGTAGGATGGAGAAACAACAACCAAGGAGAGGAATAATTATTTCTTCTTTTAAATGGTTTTAGCATGGCTTGATTGTTGATATTCACGTGTAACTATTTGAAGATCTAAACATATTTGCAAATAGCTATTTATCATTGTAAAAGAACAACATTAATATCAGAATGACCACAAAGGGGAGAAAACTTCTGTCTTATGAAAATATTAGCAGTGCCAATGTAATTTTAAGCCCCAGATTGCTTCTGGGCTGTTGAAGAAAGAAAAGACAATGTGTAGACCAACTGAAAATAATAATGTAGAAATTTGATAAATAAAAAAATGAATAAAACAGAGGGGAAAGAGGTATAGAAAAGGCATGCTCTCAGTGCATTTTCACTTCCCTCGGTGTATTCATAGACCAGAGCCGAGCAGTTGCAATGACCGGCTGCGGACCACAGCAAAATAGCCCTCGCTTATTTCAATGGACCGCATTTGTTCGGGGGTCGCGGGGCGTCAAGGCGGTTCATTCAAGGGGCTCTGACGAGCATCCGCAGGCCCCCATTGCGCCCCCCTCTCCCAGGCAGCGACCGCCGAGGAGCACCGGAGGAGAGCCGGACCGCGGGGGGCGCTGCAGTGGCTCCCCCTTTGTTTATCTGACGGCCAGACCTTCGCCCGCCCCGCCCTCCGCACGCTGCCAAGGAGGCGGGCCAGCCCGCCCAGCCGCCAACAAACGCCCCCCGCGCCCTGCGGAGGGAGCCCCAGAGAGCGCAGACACCCCTGGCCGCCGGGCAGCGCCTCCGTGGCCGGGAGCTGCGCTCGCGCCTTCCCCGTCCCTTGCCCCGCATGGCTCCGTGGCGCGGCGCCGAGCTGCCTCCAGCGGCGGCCCCGGCGGGCCAGCAGTACTTCCGCTCGGACAGCAGCGACTCGGCCGCCTACATGCTGGGCAACCCGAGCGGTTCCGAGGGCGAGCCGCCCGTCCGGCCCGAGAAGCGCCGCCGCCGCAAGCGCTGCAGCCCGGTCTGGCTGGTCGTGGCCGCCATGGGCATCGTGGCGCTGCAGATCGCCTCGGCCACCGGCCTCTTCGTCTACTTCACCATGTCCATCGCCAAGGTAGGGCGGGCGGGGGGGGGGCGTTCCGGCCGGCCGTCGTCGAAACAAAGGCGCGCTGGCGGAGCCGGAGCGACCGCAGATCCCAGCCTTCGGGAGGAGGCCCCAGGGCGCCCCTTTGCCTGGCCCCGCGGCGGCGGCGGAGGAGGGGGCGGGAGGTTACGGGCTCTGGGCGAAAGTGCAGGGCGGCAGACGATAACAAGAACGGGAGGGGGGAGGGGAGCCCCAAAGGTTCCTTGGGCGGCGGGGCGGCGCATCTGGTCTCCCAGCAGCAGGAGAGGATGGTGCACAGGAGGAGGCGGCTTCGAGTTTCGGTTTTGTCCCGAGAGTTTCGGGGCATCCGTACTTGAGAAGCATTTAGAGTTACGACCTACAAGTCTTTATATGGCAAAAGGCGGAGGCCTGCCCCGAACGTCTTGCCAGAGCAACTGTGGCCTGTTAAGCATCTCTGGAAACGCGTTTGCCGAAGCACTCCGGGCTCTGCTGATCCCCCTCTCTCAAAGGCAGCCGGGTGTGGCCTGAGGACTAAGGGGGCAGAGACAGCCTGGACAATTCCTATTGGCTATTCAAGAGAGTCTATTCTATTGGCTTTCGAAAGCCAATAGAATAAAAGGGAGTAGCACAGCTAAGGAAAAGGGGGAAAAAATGGCGGACTGCGTTGTTTGGCGACCCCCGTGAAATGGTCGTTCGACCCCAAATGGGGTCCCGACCCACAGGTTGAGAACCACTGCTCTAGGCAGAGTAGAAGGTTGCCAGCTGAATGTGAACCAGCAGGGTGAGTGGATGTAAAAAAAAACAAGAAAAGGAAGAAAAGCACTGGTTTAATAGAGAAATATAATTTCTAATCACGTTAACTCGAACCCTTTGTGCACTCTGCCTTGGTTGGAGCCCCCTCCCCTCTGCTTGCAGACTGAGCAGGGAAGAGGGGTGATCAAGAATGGGGCAGAGAGAGGAAAGGATCCGGGATGTTCAGTGCTGAGAGAAAAAACGGTGCCTGGGAGTGGAGAGGAGGCCACAGGGAGGAGAACTAGACCTGCCAGAGAGGCATAATGACAACAGACGGAACTTACAGGGAAGCAGAATCCAAGTGAGTATTAGGAAAAAATCCTAATGATGTAAAAACCATTTGACTGGAACAGGGAGCCGAATGTGATGTGTTCCCTTTGCGGTATCTTTTCCTGCAGCCCATCTGCTCAGGATGCTCACAGTGGACCCTGCCCTGGCTGCCCCCATCCCCAATCTGTTCCGCCCCTCAGAGCTGACCAGAGGGCAAGTGAGCTGTGGCCAGGGGCCTGATGCCTCCAAGGGCAAAGATAAGGCGCAGGGGAGATTGTGGCTCATGGAGTGGCCTTCCTTTCACCTTCTCCAGTGATCTGCTCCTCCCCAGAACTTTGGCTGCTGGAAAGACCAGAGCTATGAGTTCCAGGACAAAAGTGTCTACAAGAGAGACTTGGCCTGGTCCTGTAGCAACACAAATCCTCCACCCTGGCTGGAGAAAGAGAGGGGAGAGTTTCTCCAGCTCCGCCAAGAGGGAGGATCTGAGCTGCTTCTGCCCATCTCTACTGGTCAATGCTGTGGGGAGTATTAGTTGGAGGGCTGTCGAGGGGCAGGGACAGCATTCACTGTAGCCTCTTTGTGGCTTTCCTGGCCAGGCTTGGAGGAATTGAGAGTGACACTCAGGGCCTCACTTCAGTCAGACGCTTGGCCCATAACATCAGATGGCCTGAATGGGGTTCCATGATTCTCAGAAGTGGCCATATTGGGACAAGAAGCCAGCCTTCCTCTTGAGTCGAGGAGATAGCAGATGGCCGCTGTGCTGGGCCCTCAAGGTGCTGCCCTGACTTGGAGGAAAACTTTCGATATAATAATTAACCTTGCTGGGAAAGGCACTTCCTTGTCACTTCTTGGAATCTGCCCTTAAAACTTTTACAGATCTGCCAAAACAGAAAGTTGCCCAGGGTTGGGGGGAGCTGCCATGTGCACCCCTTTCCCCTTGGCATTTGGGGCCTGCACTGTCACCCAGACCCCAGCTAGAAGGTCCTGCAAGGAAAGGCAGCTTCTAGAGTGGTTGCGCTGTGTACTAGTTTCGGAGGCCTTTTGCTCACAGTGTTTACAACGCTACTCTTGCAGGCCTTCTCTGCCCAGCCCTCAATCCTGCTATCGCTTGGGAGAAAGGGCTGGCAAGGGCTTTGCGTGCGTGTGCTTGTTTTGCGATGAGGGAAGGATGGGTGCGACCAAAGTTTCCTGAATTAAGCAACTTGCAGGCTTAGTTTGGCTTTCATTTTCTCTTAATTGCCATGCCAAATCTTTGAGATTGCAAAAACACACAGGGAGCCTGTGCTGCTAGGAAGGCCTCTTTGAAGTGCTCCTCGCAAGGTCTACGCAAAGCCCCCCCCCCCTCTGTCTCTGGAGCACTCAGAGCCTTTCTAGCCAGATAAGGGTGATGTTTCCCCCAGGCAGAACCAGGAACAGCATTTGTGGTTGGCTGTGGCTGGAGTGCTTCAGGGCACTTGGTAGTTAAACATGAGCCCTTCATCTGCAAAAGGAGTCAAACCATCCTGCAGTAGCGAAAAGGGGGGCATCTCCATGTGCCCCTCATCATTTGTGAGGGGAGGCTTTTTTTGAGCGAGCTTTTAGGGGGGGTCCTGTGGGAGCTCTAGCCCAGGATGCATGCTGACTGGCGTCCCCAAAGCCCAGCAGCAATTGTGTGTGCAGCCCTTTGTTTACAGCTAGTGCTGATTTCGCAAAACCTGACCCAGTTCCTGGTCTCAGGCTGGGTGCCCAGCATGCGGGCTAGAGTGAGTCATCATTGGGGCATCTGGGCTGAGTTTGCCTTTTCCAACTGCTGGGGGAGATTCATGGCAAGGGGAGGGAGGCCCCCAGGGGTCCTGTTCCCCCTGGAATATTGAAAAGCAATAGCAACAGCAAAGGTCTCTGCCATGTCCTTAAATGGGCATAGTCATAGCAAAGGTGGCAGGTCTGAATGGAGGCCGCCTGCCCGAGTGGGCAGAGCAGTGGGAAGCCCCCTTCCCCCAGCTGCTACTACCCCTTGGCATCCCTCACCTGACCCCTCCGCCTTTCCTTCTCAGCTCAAAGCCCAAACACAGGGCACCTCGGAGGAGCTGAGGTGCCTCCAGCTGCTCAACAGACTGCAGGAGCTCTCGGAGCTGGAGGAGCTGATGAGCAGCCAGCCGTGCTTCAGGCTGGCACTCGGCATCCAGGACTACGTTGCCATGGTGAGAGGCCTCTCCACGTTGCTGCTTCCTTTGGGATTCTGGAGCCCAAAATCCTGAGCTCAATCAAGTTCAGGTTGTGGGGCTGCAGGGAGGCCTGAGGGGAAACGGGGGGAGGGGTAGGCCAGTCCTCTCTGAAATATACCCAAGCAGCGTTTCGCCCTCTGGCCGCGCATCTTTCGCTCTGCCCTGTTTGTCGGTTTCTACCCACCTCTTGAATCCACAGCTTTGCTCAGGCAGGTCCGCCTTTATTAAAGGGCTTCTGCATGTTCCCCCCCCCGTCCACTTGGAGGCTGACCCCATGGGTGGGGGCGATCCAGAATGACCCCAGTTGAAGGGAGCGCTGGACCTACGCCTTAAGTCTCCTCATCTCATTCCTTTCCAGATTACTGAAAATGTCATCCGAAGGAGCACCCCAAGGGGTAGGTCTGCAAATGGGGAGCAAAGCAACTGGCCAGACCTGGAGGGGAGGGAGAACCTGCCAGGAGGCAGAGTAAGGAGCATGTTGTTTGCAGAGGGACCCCCAAGAGATGAGCAAGCAGCTCCCCTCCTTCTCTCATTCTGCCGCCTGTGCCCCTTCTTTCCTAGTCAGTGCCTCTCAGAATCAGAGGAACTCCAGCTGGCAGCTGGGCAGCCGGCCCTTGGCACATCTCACGCTCAGGAGGCCGAGCCCTTCCCAGCCAGGTGAGTCTGCAGACGGCTGGCCCTTTCCTTGGCTCAGTTGCTCACCAAGTGCTCCTTCGCGGTTGGTCCTTGCTGGCCCCCCTGGGCCTCTCCTTTGCCTGCCTCTCTACAGCCAGGCAAAAGATGAGCAGGCAGGCTCCCTTACTGCCAGGGGGAGGGGCAGCTGGGCCTCGTTTGAGCTTCTCCCAGAGAGGGGCTGGAGCAGGGCCTTGCTCAGCTCAAGAGGGAGGGAAGGAGGGCTGGCTGGGTGTGAGCTTTTGTCCTTGGAAAGCCTGTGAGGCTCCTAGGATTTTCTCAGCTCTTTGCCCTTGGTGTCCTCACAAACGCAGGCCCTCCCTCCCAGAAGCTCCAGGGTTGTGTATACATCCCCTCCACCACCTGGGGTGACTTTCTGGGTCTCTTCCCCAGGAGGCCTGGGACCAGTGTTCCAGGACCTGCAGCAGTCCTGCCAGCATCCCATCCGCCACTGGGCCAGCAGGACCATGCATGCCCACCTCCAGAACCTCACCTACCAGGACGGGCAGCTGCAGGTGAGCCAGGCAGGCAAGTACTACGTGTATGCCCAGATCTACTTCCGCTACCCTACTGAGGGGGGCGATGCCCGCTCCCTGGGCCACCAGCTGGTGCAGTGCATCAATCTCCAGAGTGTGTACGGGCAGACCATCCTCCTGCTGAAGGGCGTGGGTACCAAGTGCTGGCAACAGGATGCAGCCTATGGGCTCCATGCCCTTTACCAGGGAGGCCTCTTTGACCTCAAAGCCGGTGACAAGCTCTTTGTTTCCGTCTCGTCGCTGGACGTCAACTATGACGATGAGGCAGGGAGCTATTTTGGAGCCTTCCGCCTTGACGTGTGACGTTGGGGGAACCGCACCCAAGGGAGCCCTGGCGTTGGGCCTCATTACCCCCCCCCACGCAGAAGCACTGGAGGACACCCACGCTCCATATCACTGTTCCTTCTCCTGTTAGTGATAGTGACTAAGCTGCCCTGGAGGCAAAGGCGGCGGGGCGGCGGAATCTGCAGCCCTCCTGCTGCAAGAGACCCTCTTGCGTTCTGCAGACCCTGGGAAGCTGCTGGAGCCCCTTCAAAGACTCTTGTTTGCTGTGGGTCTCCACTGCACACCCTGCGCCATGGGGAGATGCTCCATTGTAGCCATGTCTCTGAAGCAGCCAGAAAGGTGACAGAGCTGAGCAAGCCGGCTGGCTGGCAACTACCAAGCTTCTGACTCTCCTGGATATGCCCCTGTGCCTTCTGCTGCAGAGTCCTCCTCTCCTCCTCTCCATGCGACCTCCTGCCCTCTCCACTGCCTCCCACCACTCCAGCTGAAAAATGGGGTTTCCTCCTGCCAGGGAGGACCACTTCTGGGCTCCCTCCTCCTGTGCCTCAAAACAAGCTGAGCTGCTCACACAGCAAGCGGCAATTCACAATTCTTATTTCCAGGGCAAGAATGTAGGTCAGTGTGTCTTCTGGGCAAACGAGCCCCGCTAGGGAGCCATGGGTGCACCTTCCCACTGCCTCTCCCCGCACACACTTTGGGTGTGACCCTGAATGGCATTAGCACTGAGGATACCCTAGCCAAAGCTGCCTGACCTGGAGCAACCAGAGCCTGTGCCAGCTGGGTGACCTGGGTGGCAGCCCAAGAATCTCCCTAGCCCTTCCTGGAGGGAAGTTGATCTTCGAGTCTGTGTCCTGGACCTTGGTGGGAAATGGCTTTTTTCCTTGGCTGGTTTTCTTGAGGGATTGCCCAGGTTGTGTTATATCAGGAGCTGCATCCAGAATAGCCAGGTTCCATCCAGCTTTTACTTGTGGCTCAGCATTTTGCATCCCCTCCCCATTGTCAGTGCACGGTTCAGTGTGCTGCATGCACCTAGGCTGTGGCTTAATTCGGTAGCCAGACTGTGGGGCGGAGGCAAAACAGCAGGCTGCCATTACGAACACTGAAAGGGTGGGCAAGTGCAATCCCCAGAGGCACAGTACAGGAGACACGTTTCTAACCCACGTTTGGACTGGGGCACCAGCCCTTGACTCGACCTCCTTGGCCACAGGGCCTCTTCTGGCTTCTCTGAAAGACAACGCCCACCCTAGGCTCTCAGCCACGAGTCACGGTAGCGTGGTGCGTGACCCTGGCCCAGCTGTCTGAATCCCAGTCCAGGTGGTCTTTCCCCTTTGGCCTCTTCCCCCCTTGCCCCTGTGCCCAAAGAGGGGGATGCCTCAAGGCAACAGGCTTTCAGGAGGCTGTTCCCTCAGGCAGCCCCAGGCCAGGCAAAGCCAGCAGTGCTGCTCCTGCAGCTGCCACCTTGTTCCTGGGCAGCTGCAAGAAGAGGCAGCAAACAGGAGACTGCCCGGAGATTCAGCTTGTTGGTTTGGGGTTATCTGGCACCACTTGGGAAGAGGCAGGAAAATGAGCCCCTGGATGCGATGCTCTGCTGCACATGCTCTAGACAGCCTGGAAGGGCTGCTGCAGCCCAAACCTGACCTTCCAGCCATCACCCTTCCATACCAATTTAGAGGGGTTCCTCCCCCCCGCCCCCCTCTGGGTTAGGCAAGAAGCAGCCACTGCCGGCTCAGTTAGATCGATTCTTTTACTCTGGCGTGGAACCTCCTTCCCAGCGCAGCTCCCCAACAAGGCTACAATCAGGCTCTCCTTCCCGAGGAAATTACTTTCCACAGATTATATAGTGCAATTAGTTATCTTGTAGAAAAAAAATAAAACATGATTATCGCTTGCTCCACACGGAGAACCTGAAGACAGCTCTGGATCCTCGGTAAAAAGAGGCAAAGGTCAGGTCCCTCGGGCCAACGTCCGTGGAGCAGAGGAAAGCCTCTGGCCCCTCCCGGGCTTCAGTTGAACAAGATCGAGTCTGGATCCTGGTTTGCCATTTGTGCCATGTGCTTCAATACGTCCTTCTTGGTAATAATCCCTAGCAACTTCCTGAAAAAAAGGGAGAAGCGACTGACCTCAGTGGAGAACCGGGGCTCCCTTCTGCCCCGTGATCAGTTCAGCCACAATGGGGCTTCCAACACGCCCGGAGAGGAGCCCCGTGTGGCCCCAGCGGATGGAGGGAGAGGCAACGGGGCCACCTTTCCACCCAGCCCAGAGAATTGCCTGCCTGGAGGCTCCCGGTCACTGGAGCTCCTTCCGGGCTGCTGGCGTCAGCAAGGGGGCCTTGACTGAGCCTGGGTGACAACTCGAGGCCTGGCAGAGGAGGAGCCCCCCGAGTCTTTCACATGGAGCATTTTTTAAAGAGCTGCCGTTCTGGGCTCCCCTGAATTCCTTGTCAGCTTTTTCAGCAGTGGGGAATTTTGCTATCAGCCATATATAATTTGTATACACAATATATTTTTTCATTACTGCTAGTGAATTGTCCTGTCTTTCGTTTTGAAGTCCTGAAGCAAACACCAAGAGCTTCCTAAAATCAGGAGGGGCCTGGCCAGCTAAAGTGCTTCCACTCCTTTATTGGATGTGCGACCTAACCCCTTATGCTCCGTTGGAGAAAGTCTCGGAATGGGGGCCCTTCACCGGATCCGGTGACACTATTGGTCCATTGCCCACCCCAATCTCTTGCGACTCTGGCATCCGTCATGCGAAGGCAGCTCTAACGCTGCAATGAATGCCCCAGAGAGAAAGACGGCCCTCCCATCCCTCTAAGCCGAGACAAGCAGGCCTGCAGTGGCCTAGCGCAAGGGAAGGAAGGTCAGCAGGGCCCCTTCTTACCCATTGTGTGTGACCAGGCACTGTCGCAGCCCAAGTTTTCGGAAAATGTCCACCACGATTTCCATGGGGGTTTGGTCTGTCACAGTGAAGGGGCTGAGGTCGAGAAGGCTCCGCAGCTTGAGAATGGGGGGGGAGCAGGGCGGCAGCGGGGGGCAGTGGTCCGTGAAATAAATAACCGAGCTGCTGACAATCCCTTCTTGCTTCTTCCGGGCACTTTCTGGGGTGGGGGAAGAGAGAGTCAGAACTGGAGGGGCAGCCCACACCCCACCTGGGAAATGGAGGTGGCCACACTCGGGCATTGCCAGGGTGTTTCTGGGCCTGCTCACCCATGGAGATGACCAGGTCTCGTCTAAGGACGAAGCCCACCAGGCGCTGAGACTCCCTGGACACCACCACAGGATAGCCACTATAGGTGGTCTCGCCGATGATGGTCTCCACGTCCTCCACCGTCATGCTGTCCTGCGTGAGGACGGTCAAGGCGGGGCCGCTGCGCCGGGGCCGCATGACATCCATGGCCAGGGTCTTGTGGCTGAACTCCTCCTTGGCCTCCAGAAAGGGGTAGCCATTCAGGCGGATGTGGGCATCATAGATGCCCTCCCGGCCGATGGCATCGGCTACCCACTTGCTGGTCATGGCAGCTGCCATCAGGGGCACGATGTACTCCAGCCCTCCCGTGAGCTCAAACATGATGACCACCAGGGAGACGGTCATGCGGGTCACTCCGCCTGCAAGAGCCAGAGGGACCCTTATCTCTTTACGGATCATTTCTTTTACCAGAAAGATTTAAAAACTACAGAAACACAGAAAAAGATTACAAAGGGATAAAAGCAAAGAATAATAAAAAAGGTAAGAAAAAGCTATCTAAAGAAGCTTCTTGGCCCCGGTTTCGAACCCAGCTGTTCCGTCTTCTGCCCTCACCCGCCTCACTGCCCGCTTCCCTCCTTCCCAGAAAGAGAATCAACACATCATGAAATCAGCAGGGAAGTCTCAGGAGGGTCTATTTCAATGAACAGCGACCGGGAGGGGCTTCAGTCGTCAGCCAGATCTGGCCAAAGCACTTCCAGTTGACCCTCAGGCTCACTGTCCCTGCTCTGAGCTTGAGCTCAATGGCCCACAACCATCATGCTGAAAAGCCTCTTTCAAGGCTCAGGCCTGGGGGGGGGAGGGAGTGGGGGAGCAGCCCTCCTTGTTCCCCCCCACGTGTACACTCGTCTAAAGGCAGCTGCCCCTTCTCGGTCACAATGCAACTCAAAGGCAGCTGGAAATGCCCAGGATGAATGGGCTCCCTCACTACTCACCCAGGCAGGCGGCAGCCCCCACCATGGCATAGAGGCCGGGCGTGATGCAGTCTGCGCCAGGACTGCACCAACCCTTGAAGATCCGCCAATCGGGATGGTGATAGGCCAGCTGCTCCATGCCCACGCCCAGTAACCGGCCCGCAATGGCCCCCACCGCCATGCTGGGGATGAAGAGGCCCGATGGCACCTGCAGGGGAAACTGGCATCAAGCGGCAGCCTCACCTCTTCCCAGGGGAAGAGGCTGCCCAGGCCTGCGCAGACGGGCCCTCGGGAAGGCTGGGAGAGCCCGTCTCCTCCGGCCCCAGTTGGGCCACCGGATCAAGCGGCAGGAGGCCTCAACCTACAACCACAATCAGAACTGAAATTTCCATTGTAAGCCCTTATAGTCGTAAGTCCGGTTGGACCTGATGTAGTGACAATTTTTACAGTGGTCATTACTGAATCATAGTATTCATTAAGTGAATCCAGCTCCCCCGATGGGTGCTTTATGCCAGAAAGCAGCAAAACAGGCTGTAAATCGCCACAGGATGCGGCAACTGGGCATAAATGTGGGGCCCCCAAACTGAAATCATGCTACTGCGGCCGTGCTGCGGCAGGTGTGCTTGTGACTACAGGTCATAGGTCACTTTTTACGAGGCAGTCATAACTCTGAATTGTTGTTAAACAGTCACAAGTCAAAGGCTACCTGCACGTCAGACTATTTCTGACCTCCAACCCCAAGACAGCCAAAAGCCTCAGGGCTCAGGAGGGAGATTGTGGCAGGGCCCAGGGCCCCAACCGGCTTCTCCTGGCTTCATGCTCAGCAGCTCCCTCGCCCGTCCCCACCCTTCTCCAATCTCGAGGGGCTGCAGGCTCCCCCACCTTCATGCCGAAGGTGAAGATGGTGATGAAGATCTTCAGCAGGAGAGCCAGCATCAGCTGCCATGAGGCTATGTGGATGCCTGGCCCAGCAGCCCGGTCAGGCAGATCATCCCCCTGGGTGCTGTTGGGGGCACTGAGGTAGTCACAGAGCTGGGAGGAGTCCAGGAGGCTGCAATCGTTGAAGAGCTCCGAGATCAGCTCGCTGGTGCTCATGCGGGTGTACTTGTTCGGAAAGGCTAGCAGGGCGGTCAGGGCCGTGACCACCAGCACCTCCAGTACCGGGTACCGGCCCAGCTTGGTGGTCTTGCGCCGCCTGCACCAGGCAATGTTGCTGCGGATGAAGAAGGCCCCCCAGAGCCCCCCAAAGATGCCCAGCAGGATGAAAGGCACCAGCTCCAGGAGATGCCAGGGGCTGTGGAACTCCACGTAGAAGAGCACCAGGCGGCTGTTGCCAAATGGGTTGATGGAGCGCAGGGTGAAGGCTGCCACCAGCGCAGCAAAGAAGGAGCGCCAGAGGGTCTTTAGTGGGAAGTAGTAGCTCACCTGCAGAAAAGAGAGGGAAGGGGCCAACTCAGCTGCCCGCTCACAGCCCAAGGACTGTCTGAACAGGGGCAGTTCTCGGAGCAAGGCCCCAGGGGGTGTACTTACCTCTTCCAGACTGAACAGGACACCTCCAATGGGGGCCCCGAAGGCCACTGACACGCCGGCGGCCGCAGCAGCCGACAAGACCTGTACGGAGAACAGTCGTCAGCAGAGCCATGGGTGCAAAAGAGGCCAGAAGCAGCCCCCAATTCATCTCTCAGCAGTCTTGGAGCAAGATGCGGGCAGCTCACGACTATTCCCATGTCCATGCCAGGCCTACACCAAATGGCAGCCCACCCCAGAGCTTACTTCCCGGCGCTTGGCCTCATTCTTCCGATACTTGGTGAAGAGGTGGCAAAGGATGTTGCCGCAGCAGCAGGCCACGTGAACCAGGGGACCTTCCTTGCCCAGGCTCAGGCCCGAGGAAACGGCCAGCACCAGGGTGACGGTCTTGATGAGCAGCGTCCATTTACCCAGGTAGCCTCGGATGATGAAGCCACTGAGAATAGTTTTGATCTGGAAGGCAAAAAGGCTTCCGTGGATGGCAGCCTTTGGCCCATCGACTCCCTTGGCCAACCCCGAGTGCAGGAGCGCTTGGGAAAGCAATGCAGCTCTGGGAAGGAAGGAGGGGCGTCATGAGAAGTGGGGGCTATGAAAGAGGGCAGAGGCCCTGGGAGGATCCAGAGCCCCCAGCCTCACCGGCACGAGTGGACTCACCTCTGGGATCCCCGAGCCGCAGGCGTAGGGAGCAAAGCCCCGGACGAGCAACACAGCCAGGAAGGAGAAGAGCACCGCCCAGAGGATGTAGAGGAAGTAGTTGAGGACGTAACTCAGGGCTCCCTGTCAGGGCGAGAAGTGGGAGGGCGGACCATGAGGCACACTGGACTCACCTGCAGGGCTGGCTTGCTACCTGGTGAAACAGGTTCCCCCCGACACGTACCCCTTCCTCTCTGCCAGTCAGCAGTTGCGCCCAGGTCCTCCACTCAGGGCACTTGTCCCTGTTCTCGAAGGTGATGTGAGTCGAGTTCCAGCAGCAGTGCTCGTGGTTGTACCAGAAGCCTTGCAGGCAGACCCCCTCCTTCAGGTCCGTCATCCAGTGGGCAGTGATGTCAATCAGGCCGGCCAGCAGCCCTGTGGGCAGAGAAGGTCACCATGGGAGGGGAGGGGCTTGACTGAGACCCCGGGTCCGCCCAACAGCTCCGGCCCCTCACCTGCCCACAAGCCGATGAGCAGCATCAACAGCCATCCTGAGAAAGCGTCACTGACGCTGCGCACCAAGGCCCAGGTGGACTCCTTGCTCTTATTGGCGATCTGGGGAAGGGGAGGCGTTTAGAGCAGGCTTCCTCACCACCCCCACAGGGAGCCCACATTCCCCCTAGGTGCAATGCAGAGCAGAGCAGAGCAGGGGCCGCCTTCTCCTCCCTCCCTGGTCAGCCCAGCACATTCCTCCTAAGCGCTTGTGATCACCGCCAGGGAGAGATCAGTCTTTTCCCAGTTCTGATTCCAGGCCACCCTGTTCCCCTTGAAATAGAATGTTTGCACAAAGCCCTTGCCCACCCATTTTGCCGGCCCTCCCGCTGGCCACAGCCCTATCCCAGAAGAAGCCCGACTGACCTCTCGGTGCCGGTCACGGTCCCGAGACTTCTCGCGCACCCAGTCGATGGTGTTGAAGTCTTCGTAGGTTCCCACACCTGGGAGTGGCTCCTGCAGAAAGTCCATCACCTGCCTCGGCCCGTTCATCCCACCTCCACTATACGAGGAGAAACCTGCAAGGGGTCAAGAGACGCCACCTCGCTTTCCTTCCAACTGCCACAGGATGGAATGCAAAGTCCCCGGAAAACAAAGGTGTCTGCTGAGGAGCCAAGTTAATCTTTAAGCAGCTTCAGGGAAGAGGAAGGAGGGGCAGTAAAATGGCTGCAGAAAAGCTCTGAGCCCCTGGCTGAACTTAGAGGCAAGACCAATTTTGTTTGTTAAAATACGTTCTGGTTGCTGACAGCTCCTTGTCCCCAAGCTGCCTCCTCTCTGCTGCCTGCTAAATGCCAGCTTTCTTTTTTGCTGCAGCTCACAGACCCTAAGAAGACCTCAGGGGGCTTTGAGGAAGAGCTTCAGGATCTCGGCAGGTAACAGACACCAAGACGTGGCTCCCACCAGAGGTGACAGGACGCCCGTGTTGATGCAGGCATTTTCCCTCTACAGACATTTGCCACACTCCTTGCTAAAGCTCAGTCCCCCTCTAGTGGGCAGGAAAAGGTCATTGGGTTGGATGGACACACTGCCTTTCTTCCTTGGCTTGCTGGGTGCAGAAAACCTGACCCTATATCTGTCAGATGGGATCCGGGTGCCAGTCAGCTCACCTCTGCTTCTGTGGATTTGTACAGAGGATCAGAGCCAAACTCAGGCACCAGGTTTCTGCTCCCAGTGTGCCAGGTATAGTCTGAAAGCTCAGCCTTCGTCATCTTAATCAATCCAATGGAAAGCCTCTCTCCACTTGTTCATAAAATCTAGAGAATTCCCACTAGTTTGGGATCAGCTGTCTGGGAAAGTAGAGGAACTGCTGGGACCTCCTGTTCATCTCTCAGTGCAGTACTCTGGATGGCTTTGAGGAAACTGGGAGCCATGACGGGAGGAGCAAAGCTGTGGATAGCCCCGGTGCCAATCACTCTGGTGTAATGTAGGAAAGCTCTACTGCAAGCTATGATGCCATAAATATCCCAGCACAGATGATAATTTGGTGACCTCCTGCCTAAATGTCTGCCCAAGGGAAGCCTGCTGTCCTTGTAACTGGAACCCCTGGAACACCCGACCCCTCCCCAAACATCCCCAACTCTTTCCTATTCAGGCAAGCGTGTGAGGCCGTGTCTCCTGCGACTCTGTTCCACTGGGTCAGCATTCAATGTGGACTGCAAAGGTTTCCCCAATGGCCGGCTGGTCTCTCCTCCGTTCCGCACGGCAACTGTGCCTTGGCTGATCCAGGGGAGCCACAGGGCATCAGTGGAAGAAACACAAAGAAGCATCGCCGGCTGGCTCAGGTTACCTTCTGCCGACTCTCCGTCCAGAGGAGGGACGTCATCCGCCATGGAGAAATCCAGCATTCCCTCTGCAACCTCCACCAGCTCTTCATCGCTGCTGCTCCCCTGCCGGAAACCCGTAGGATTCATGGCCGAAGGGTACCACACCTGCAACGGGGAGCAGGGGTCACTTCTGCTGAGGTGGCCCTACCGAGACCCTGAGCCCCGCACCGTCGGGTCGGGCCCCTGGCCTGTCTCTCCCAGCAGCCAGTTCTCTCGCCAACCGCCCCAGGAAGGCCACAAGTGCCCCAGCAAGGCCCAGGACTCCGTTGGCCCAGCCCACTTTGAAGGTTAGCCATGCTGGTCACCATCCAGAGGAAGCCCAGGTTGCATCAGGAACCCAAAGAGCCTTTTGCCCGTTCCATTGGGTGGCCTCTATTCTGTTATTTGGGGAAGAGCCTCTCCGTGGCCACTTTAGCCACACCAGGCACCATCACTTCCCCTCTCGTGGGCCTCCCTTCTGGAGTCCCAGTCCCAAGGGGAGATTTCTAAGACACAACACCTGAGAAATCTCCACCCAAAGGCCCCCCCCCCATTGCATTCGTGGCCCACCAGGCAAGAGGAGAAAGTCAAGGTGCTCTGTGTTTGGGAGGCATTTAAAAGCTGTCTGTGGAAGCTCAGGAAGCATCTTGAGGGAGGCTTATCTAAGGTCACAGAGACAAGCTGGGGGGGGGGGGGAGACACCTGCCAGGTGGTTCCCTCATTGACAAGAGCTGCAGTGTGAAGCATGAGTGAGGCAGTCAGGTGAGCAGGCTGGAAAGCCAAACAGCTCCCCCACCTCTCCTTCCCCCCAGCCTCCAGCCCAGCTCAACACATTCCCTCCCCCCTCCCTCCTTTTGGAAATGCCTGCCACATTCTGGGCCAAAGATTAAGCAAGGCTGCCCCATGTGGTCGATTTCAGGCCCAAGAAGGAAGCAGGATGGGGGGGGAGGGCTCCCAGATAGGGCTCCCTATAATGCACACAATATGTGTCACCCCCCAAGTGCAGAGGAGGGGACTGGCCAGCAGAGACCTGGCACCAGACAATCTGTGTGGCTTCACAAAACAGCTGCCTCTTGACAAATGCTTTGCCAAAGCTCACCAAGGAGACAACCACAGACCTGAGGGCAGCTATGAAGCAAGGAGGAGGAAGCAGACAGCCATCGTGTCCACCTCTCCTGGCTTGGCTGGACAACAGGTCAGCACCCACTTTAGCCAAAATACTCCAGCTGTGGCTCTCTTTGCAGAGAGAGCGTTTGGGACTTAGAGGGGGAGTTTCACAGGAAATAACTATTTCATCACAGTGGAGGGTGGATGTTGCCCTGGCTGCTTACGGGGCATAAACAAGCAAAGCCTACAACGGGGAGAGCTCTTGGAGCTGGGCTGTTTTCTTGCAGACATTTCACTGCCAAACTAGGACTGAAGAGGTCCTCCTTCCTCAGGGAAGCGCCCCTCTCCCCCTCTGCCCTACTGGGCTCCAGACTCCCCCTCTAACTTGCTTCAAGGGCCAACTCACACAATTGCCTTGATCAGCAATGACTTGGCAGCCGAACACTCAAACCTTTGCACTCCCAAAGCAATTTCACAATAGGGATGTTCCACCAAGAGCACTTGGTCGGAAGTAGTTCACCCACTGGTCCAGCTACCCAAACAGCTGCAATGCTTCTGGAGCACTTATGTGAACAGATTTTGAAACAGACAGCAATTATATACTGACCTATTTATCTAGGAAAGTTGAGCCAAAAAATCAGAATTTTGGGTCAGAATCCTTTTCAAGATTTGGACCTGCTGAGCTTAAGAAGGCATGGAGAGAGGGGAATGGGTGGCTCAAGGAGAAGCTGGATGGAGAGCATCAGAGGCCACCAAGTGAGAAGCTTTCATCTGATCAAAGCAACCGAGGCAAGCAAGGGCTGAGAAGGAGAAGTCAGGGACCTGTTTCTGAACTGGGTGAGCCCCTAGCCAGCTGTGCAGAATCAGGAGCAGGACAGGCCTTAAGGCAGTTGTGGAGGTCTTCTCTTGCTCCGTCTACCAACCCAGAGCAGCAAAAGTCACAAGTGCCAGGGACCCAGGCCGCATCCAGCTCTTGCTGTGAGCTATAGCTATCTGACCAGGTGCTTAGGAGCCCAAGGCTATGGCAAAACACGGTGCCCATGAGTTTGGCTTAAAGTCATAGGCAAAGTACACAGCTCCACTACCTGCTTTTTCTGGGTGGGGCATGCCTTGCAAGATCACTTTCGAGAAAGGCTGCCCAGTCTTGAAGACAAGGCTTGGCTTTCTCTCCTCAAAGCTTTCTGATCTCTCTAACCGAGTCCAAGTGACTCCCAATATGCATCACTGTCATAGTCCAAGCAGAGCTTAATGCCTGGTCTCATCAAATCACATTAAAACAGCAGGTAATCTCAATATCACATGTCCACATAGGTCACCGTGCTGGCCATTTACAAGCACTCTGGATCCGAGCACACAACCGGAGCCAAACTATCCAAGGGCAAAGCAGACATAAATCCAATGGCATATTTTGGCCTGCAGAAAGGTCTGTTCTTGTGGCCAGGGAAAAGCAGCTGGGCCCTCAAACAGCTCTGATCCAAGCATATTCACGTCTGAAGAACAGTTAGCCTAAAAAGTTTCCACAGAAAGGAGCAGTTTGGTTTCCAGGGAAGGGACTGAGAAAGCAGAACAGAAAGTGCATTTTCCTTGAAAATGTCTGGTTCCCCTTCCAAGAACCAGAAGAACTGACTTCCTTCCTCCATGCTGAGCAAGGCCAAATCTGCATTGCAGTCGGTCCCATTTGAGTCAACATGGATCGGCAGAGACTTTGCAACATTTGCTTCCCTTGTCCAAATATTTCTGAACAGAAGGCACAAGTTGCCTACATCTGTTCAGGGAGGTTTGACCTTTGACATCCCTGCAAGGGCACAGGAGACAGATGTCAGTACATCATCTGGACCTGGCCAGGCTTATGGACTTCCCAGGAAGAAAAGTAAACACAAACTGCACCAGAAAATCTTGAGCAATCAAGTCTGTGGAGAAAAGTGGATTCTCTGTTTTGTGTGCAAGATGCCAATTAGGCTCCTCCGTAGTCAGAAGTTCAGCGCTACTCCCTTCTATTCCCTTCTCCCTTGGAGGGACAAATTGAGAACAGCTGCTGGGAGGGAGAAGCACAACAGCTCAGGGCCTGCTGTTCTGCCACTGTCAACAGTGGCCAAGGGAACTGCCAGACTGAGCGGACCCTGGAATCGGGACCATGTTCTGGGCCCCAGCAGGCCTTTGATTTTCTGACCACACAACCCTGCACCACTTGGCAAACTGAGCTGGAAATAGTTGGATCTCAAAAGCACTGATCAAGGCAGCTCCTCATTCCCAAATGCCATCACCAGCAGTGGCCAGAGGGGTGGAGGTGGGGAGGAAAAGAGAACTTCACATGGATTTCAGATGGACACCAGGGATTCCCTGCTGAACGGTCCAAAGCTACCTGGCCAGCAATTTGGGTCCACTCTGATCCAGGGGGCCAAGAGCGACGGCAGGGAAAGTCAGTCTATCTCTCCAGTAACTGCCATCCAGAGACTCTGATGCCTCCAACTCTCCCTGGAGCCAAGTGGATGGGAACCCTACAGGCTGCTGGCAATTTGGAGAGGCAGCACTTCTTTCTCCTCACCTTAAATCCCTGGGGACAATTCTAATGTTCCCAAGCTGCAAGAAGAGGCATCTTCCCCTGCCTGGGCCATTTGTCCCAGCAGGGAGGCCGCTCCTCCCCTCTGGGCTGGTCAGGGCCCAGGTGGCACAGAAGCTCCGATGCTGATCCCGGGATCGGGCCCCAGGCACCCTCGCGCCGGCCGGTCCGGACTCGGGAAGGCTCCCTGGAACAGCCCCTCCCCGTCACGGCGCCTCCTCCTCCTCCGGTCTTAGGGTCGCGGCGGTCAAGCTCTGCCCCAGCTGCGGGGGTTCCAGAAAACAAGCCGCCCAGAGCGGTCATTAAGAGCCCGCATTTCGCTCAGGGCAACAAGGCAGGAAATAAGCCCAGCCTGGCCGCCCGCTCAAGCGAAGCCCCGCAGAGCGGCCGTCCGGCCAGAAGCTGCTTCGCTCTCTGCTCTTTACAAACGGCAAGGCGGGGCCGCGGAGCCACCGGCGGGGCCGGCAGAGAGCCGGGCAGGCCGTTCGCTGCGGTGCCCGGGAGGAGGAGGGGGCGGCGGCTCCCTCCTTCCTGCCTTCAGGCTCAGAGACGCGGCTCTCCGCCCGCAGCCCCGGGAAGCAGCGGGCAGCCCCCAACCCCCCTGCCACGAGGCCGCTCCCGGGCACACAACGCGGGACCCACGCGGGGCGAAAGGGAAACGCGGCGCCGCTTCGCCGCCTCGCAGCCCATGGAAGGTCTCCTCCCCCAGGCGGACGGTCGGGCGGGGGACCGGAGCGTGGGAGGGTTCCCGACACGGCCCTCGGCCCTCGCCCCTCACCTGCGCGGCGCCGGGAGGGCTCCTCCGCCTCCGCCTCCTCCTCCTCTCAGCGGGCGGGCGGCCACCGGCCGGGCAAGGGCGGCGCCATTCGGACACGCGGGGCGGGGCAAGTCATGTGACTCCGGGAACAGCCCTCTCCCGGGCGGCCGCGGAGCAAGGGGCGGGTCTTTCCAGTGCGCAGGTTGGAGGGAGGGGCCGGCCACGGAGTCGCCATGTTTGTCTCGGGCGCTGCCCAGCTGCGTGCCGGCGCCTCCTCCCGGCTGCTCTGGAGGTTGCTTCTAGGCGGGACCCAGCGGCGTCCCCAACGCGGCGCCCTCCGGACGGATCGCCCAGCCGCCCGCTTCGGTCCGTGGCCGGCTGGGGCTCTCTAGGAGGAAAGTCAAGGAAAGCCGGGAGCCCGAGGCCGGTGGGCGCCTTCCCCCAGCCGCCGTTGGGGCCGCCGCCGTTTCTCGCCCGTCTCGCAAAGCCGGTTCCTGCAGGACCCTCGGCGGGCGCTCGAGGCTCCCCCGGGGAAACGATGCTCGGCGCCGGGAGGGGCTGTTGTTCGCGGCGGCTTAAACGGGAGCGCGCGGGGCAATTCATGGGCGCGATTCTTGGTGTGCTCCGCCTTGCAGGAGAAATCTCTTTTTTCCATTTTATTACAATCGAAGTGCCCTGGAGATGGGCGGGGGGCGGCGGGGGGGGACCCGTCGCTCTCTGCCCCGAAGGTCTCTCGCAAGAGTTGCTGCTTTGAGAAACTCTCCGGGTTTGTCCCCTGCAGGTTCCGCTAAAGTTAAAATCCGGGCACGGAACCTGCGCAGCGTAGACGAATGAAACGCTATTGTTCAACGGGCACCCGGTAGGGCAGTGTTTCTCAACCTTGACAATTTTAAGGCATGTGGACTTCAACTCCCAGAATTCCACAGCTGGCTGGGAGTTGAAGTCCACATGCCTTAAAATTGTCAAGGTTGAGAAACACTGCGGTAGGGCTCGGTCTACCCACGGGGAGGCTTAGCAGAGGTTAAAGTAACAAATGCTACGTAAGGGAACAACTCAGAAACCATCGAGTAATCCACTTCACAAATGTCTAACGGCTCAGACGCCACTTTTACTCGATCCTTTCTGCCATTCCCAGGCTAAAAGGAAGGGGGTGAGGCTGCTCTTTCACCGTGGCCAGCTCATCTAAAGGGTCACCCTCGGAGAGGAGGATAAAATCATGACCATGACACCAGCACCCCGGGTGAATCTACACGGCTTTGCTATGTTTGGGCCCCGGGGGGGAGGGGAGAGGAGAGGAACTCTGGCTCAGAGAGAGCAGGAGGGTTGCGGAGTTTCACTTTCCCTCCAACAGGATCTTTGTCATCCTGAAACTCTCCACGGAACCAAAAGAGGAGCCCCCTGCCCCTCCCCCCATTATCCCAAAAGAGCCTTGTGATGCAGGTCAGCTGAGAGAGTCCCGAGGCTTTCTCCCTCTGGACTCCTGGATGCCACACCAGTTCAGGCACTCCTGTTTTGCTCAGAGGACTGGAGGGCAGTGAGTCATCATTTCCCACCACTTTTCTCTTTTAAGACAGGACAACAGTGACCCCTGGGCAGTTTTGTTCTGTGGCTGGGGTTTGTCACAGAAGGCCTGCTCACTGCCTCTTGCAACTTCCTGGCGATCTCGGGATCTGACATGTCTTTTTCTCACACTTTGGATGTTTCCAAAGAGATTTCTCATTTGTTTTTTAAAAATCCATTTTTTTTCCTGGTCCTAGGGGTCTGTTATGACTACAGACTGAGCCTGGGGCCAGCAGGAGCCTTTTTACCAGAGGCAGAGGGCAAAGTACCTGAATGGATTATTCCTTAGATCTCCTTGAAAGCCATTCTTTGCTTGAACGGGAGGGAGAAAACTCTACAGAGAGGTCTCTGTGGGGCTAGCCACCTCAATGTCTGGATGCTGACTAGGGACTTCCCTCCCCCAGCAGAAAGGAATTTGGGGGTGCTCCCTCCGCCTGGGTTTGTGTTCACCTTCCCAGTTCTCAGCAGGAAAACTGGGCAATCCAGGATTTAGAGAAGAGCTGGTTCTTCCCCAGGATGCTACAAGTGTCAGCCATGGGCTTCTCCCTTTGGCAGTGGCTCCGTGCAGCCCCGGGGCGGGTGGGAGGTTTCGCCCGCGAGGAGGTGGTGTTCTGGGGCTTGGCCTCTTGCAGTCTTCAGCCTAGAACTTTCTAAGGAAGGGAGTCAGGGGCGACGCTCCAGGCAACTGCCTCCTCCTTCCTCTGCAGCTCACCTGCAAACCGATTCTAAGCTACCGTCTCTTGAGGCTGAAGCCACTGAGGCCGGGCGCGAAGGACCTCGGCCACCTTCTTCCTCGCGGCCGGGCCCCCTCCCCTCTCTCCGTCCCGTTTGCTGAGAGAGGACAGTCCCGGAAGCCACCCGTCCGCCCCACGCTCGGGCTTCGGCAGATTGCAAGCGCTCTGCTCCCCTTGCCACGAGCGCGACGGGGTGCCCGGAAAGCCGGAGTTGCTCGGCGCAGTCCGCGGGCTGAGGAAGCGGCTCGCCTTTCCCGTCCTCCCACGCGCTGCTGCGGCATCTCTAGCTCGGTCGCGGCTCTGCAGCCGAGTACGGTTTAAAGAGCTCTCTCGGCGGCCGGGCGGTATTTCCTCGGCTATCCTGGGCAGCGGGAGCGAGGGGCTCGCCCGAGAGAGAAGCAGCGGCAGCCGGCCCGGGCTCTGGCGTCAGCGCAGAGGGCATCGTGATTGCAGAAATGGGTGCCACAGGCCAGTAAGCCAGAACAGCTCTCGGAGCAAAGAATGAAAGGCAGCATTAAGCGCAAAGAAAAAAGAATTTCCTTTTATTCAACCTTTCAAACTTTTAGATACAATGCTTATTTTTCATTTCTTTGTGGGCATTTATTTCATTGCTTAAGGTGGTCCGGTATGAACTCCTCTACAGCAAAAACCACAAAAACAATAGCATTTGATTTACAATTATTTATTTCAAATATTTAAAATACAGCCATTCATCTTAAAACTAGAACTCTGGGAGACTCGCAACCATAGAATAGCATCATACAAAAAATAAAAACAAGAACCAATAAATCTCCAATCCCCTGGCACAACTCAGCTCCTCTGATGAAACTTACAACGCCCTCCTCCACCTCCAACCTCTCCCTACCCACCGCCTGGGAGAAAAGTGGGGCCCTCCCCACTTCTCTGCCAAGTGGCCTTTTGGAGGCTCCGTGCAGAGAGAAATGCAGCCTCTCTGATAATAGTAGTAGTAGTAGTAATAATAATAATAGTAGTAGTAGTAGTAGTAATAGTAGTAGTAGTAGTAAAGTTGGAAGGGACCTTGGAGGTCATCTAGTCCAACCCCCTGCTCAGGCAGGAAACAAATGGCTGTCCAGTCTCTTCTTGAAAACTTCCAGTGTTGGAGCATTTACTGCTTCTGGAGGCAGGTTGTTCTACTGATTAATTGTTCTCACTGTCAGGAAGTTTCTCCTTAGTTCTAGGTTGCTTCTCTCCTTGATTAGTTTCCACCTGTTGACCAGAGCCCCCTCAGAACTCAGCAAAGAGAAGGCTGCTCTTGGCAGTCCAGCAACTGAACAGACATTCCCCTAGCCAGGTTTTCCCCTCCACATCAATAGCCCCCCCTCAAGAAGCTGGGAGCCCCCCTCCCCAGGCCAGAGGGTTGCTGCACTCCCCTGCCCTGTACAGGCCATTCTTCTGTAGCAGAGGGAACAGAGCAGCGTCCTGTTGGGGCTTCAGCTCCCAAGGAGACTCTTTGGGTCTCCTTCCCGTCCACGCAGCCTGTCACAATGAAGCAAAGGGCAAGGAGAAAGTCTCTTGAGAAGCACATGCATTTCAAAAAGTAATTCAGTTTTCTTCTCAAAGTGGAATTTCAAAAATAAATCCAATGGCAGAACAGTCTTTGGGATTCAGACTTACTGGATTTCTGCTTTGACTTCTAGAACAAAAGTATTTGGGAAACAGTTGTGATCCCTTCCCTGCAGAGAAGTCAGGTGCAAAGTAGGCTGGCTTTGGGGGCTGTCAGAGCTGATGCATCAGGAATCTTGGTGGGGGGCTTCTCCCAGGCCAAAAGGGCTGGGGTCCGTTCAGCGAGACAGATTTTCATGCCGCTGTCACAGAGGCTGCTGCCCTGGGCCCGCTTCCTCAAAGCCTCCGGGGGCGGCTCATGCCGAGCACAGGCGGCCCTGGGCTCCAAGTCCCGAACCGCGTGGTCAAACTCCAGCAAGAAGGCCTCCCGGGAGTCTCTGGCCGGCCCTGCCGGGGGGCAAGCACAACGTTTCAGGGCGTTCAGAAGCGGAGGGCGTCCAGGACCCCCCCTCCCCTCCCCTCCCCTCCTTTGGCCCGGAGTCGGGGGTCTCGCCCGGTCTCTTTGCCGGCTCGGCTTCGTTTCCCTCCAGGAGGATCAGCGCAGCGTCTGCGAGCATCCCAAAGATGCGAGCTTGGCCGGGGGAAGAGAAGCGAGACGAGGGCAAAGAGCCCGGCTCCCCCCCAGGCTCGGCCCACGCCCCGGCGCTCACCTCCCCCCGCCGCCATCGCCCCTCTGCCCCAGGCAGCCCCGCCCCCCGGAACCGGGCCGTCCAATCGCCGAAAGGGGAAAGGCCTCCAAGCAGCTGTTCCCCACGGCTGCCCTGTCGGCCAAGGGGCTAGTCCCTGGTGAGGAAGCGCGCTGGGACCTGGCCCTGCGTCCGGTTCTCAAGGAGCAGAGCTGGGGCTTCCGAGGGGGGCGGCCGCCCGATCCCTCGGCAGTAGAACAAAAAAAGGTCACGTCTTCCCATACCGGGAGTCGAACCTGGGCCGCCTGGGTGAAAACCAGGAATCCTAACCGCTAGACCATATGGGAGGCGGTGGTAATAGTAGTGCCAGATCGCCCCATCTGGCGTGGCCTGGGGAGTCCCGCCCTTACTGAAGACTTCCTCTGTGGAGACAGTGTACCCATAGTGCCGTCTGCGGGCTTACAGAGAGAACACCAATCTGGGCTTCGAATTCCCCGAAATGTCCTTCGTATGCGAACAGCAAGCCCGGCCTTGCTGCCACGGGGAACCGCGCGTAACTGCCTTCCCTGGCAGGGCTCCGGAGAGCGCGGCACCCTCAAGAAGCATGGTTCCTGAGGCTTCGCACGAGAAGGTCGCTCTAGGCGCTGCTGCCTCTGTGGTCAGCGTGTCGCATTACATCACCTGACCGAAGGAGGCGGAGTCTCCGGCGCGGCGGCGGTGCGGCTCACGTGACTGTCCCGAGGTGCCGCGGTGGGTTGGGCTGTCCGGAGCCGGGCGAGGACGGGTGAGCGACCTACGCGAGGCTGGGGCTGTGAGGCCTTCGGGGAGCAGGACGACGACGCGGAGAGGCTGCTGCCCCCGCGCCCCTCGGCCGCAGGGCAAGTCCCGAACACAGGTGGGGTTGCGCGGGCGCCCCGGTTCCGCACCTGCCCAGGGCCACCCCCGCCCGCGAAGACGCCGCTGAGCCACCCGTGCCGGCGTCCCGTCCGGGGAAGGCCGCGGCGGTCGAAGGGAGTCTCCCGGCGAGCCGGCCCAGGCCGCGGGACCCGAGCGCCAAACGGGTGTCCGGCCCTTGCCGCCCACTGACGTCCCCTCCCCCTCTCCCCACCCCCGTGTCTTTGCAGGCGTGGGATGCCGAACGCAGCCATGAAGAAGAAGGTAGGGCGGGCGGGCGGGGGGCCCCGGGGTGGCGGGGGCGTCTCCGCAGCGGCTACGTTGGCTCTTCTCCCCCCGCCCAGGTGCTGCTGATGGGGAAGAGCGGCTCCGGCAAGACCAGCATGCGGTCCATCATTTTCGCCAACTACATCGCGCGGGACACGCGGCGCCTGGGAGCCACAAGTAAGG